AGACGACTTCGCATTGCAGTCGTAAGCGCTCGACCGCAAATAGTTCCAGTTTAAAATAAAGAATCTGAAACGGACCTTTTTTCCAACTTGGACCACATCTCATATAACCACCCGATATTATAGTGAAGAGAAGTCTCATTCCTCATAACTCGCTGGCTTGCGGTAGTTTAGTATCCTACCAAGTGCTGATCTAGCAGGGATCAATGGATCTGTCGGATGATCCCGTAGGCCAACCAGATGAGAACGATCCTAGTGAAGAAGAAGCAAGAGATGAGTCAACGGAGGTCTCTGTGGCGTTGGAGCAACAGTCAGAAGAGAAAGATGTGCAGTTAACTATTGAAGAAAAATCCGATGAAGATGATGCATCGAAAAATCGAGAATCAACTGATCGAGTGGAAATATCTGTGTATGAACAAGTGGAGAGGTGCGAGAAGGAAGACGTACTTGTTGCCAATGAAGAAGACGAAGATGCACCTGTTGCCAATGAGGATATATTCGTCGAGCCGCACCAAGCTTTGGAGGTTGCTGCAGAGACGGATGTTATCCCTTCGGAATCCCCTCGACCGTCACCACGACAGAAAGCACTGACGTCTTTTTCACGAGGGGCTAGTAGAGTTGCCTCCTTCCGTCCTGGGATGACGAGAGATGAAAGGCTAAAATCCATGGTTAGTCAAGCTGAAGGCAAAGCGAAAAAAGTGCGTCTTGGCGAGGGGATAAAATCCGTTTTCCAAGCGAGTATGCACGACATTGGCGCCCTGGGTATCGGCATGCAACTGTACTTCATGCTGACGAAATATCTAAGTGTGACGTTTCTCGTTATGGGCATTATCTCTCTCCCTGCGATCATGGTGAACTCGTACGGCCATGGGATCACCAGCAAGATGGCGGATCCACTTCAACTGGCCTACTCTTCCATCGGGAACGGAGGTGTTAACCCCGATACAGCCGCTACCGCGCGTAGTTGTCTGCCTCTAGGAGACATTGACTGTACGTGGGAGACGGTGGATACTCCACTGACGTCGAATCCGAAGACTGTGACGTGGATTGTCACGCTTACGGATGTTTTGTACTCGTTTTTCTTCATGTGTTTCCTGCTCTTCTACTCGTATCGAGCTACGAAGGCTATCAAGGAGCATCAGAACAAACATCTAACACCTGCCAGATACGCTGTGATGGTGCGTGGATTGCCCAAAGACGCGACGGAGAAGCAGATTCTGGATCATTTCAATAATCTGTACGACCTACATAAGGACGAAGAGTATCGTAAGCTCTGGTTCGGCTGTTGTTGGGGTAGAAGGCACAAAGTGAAGCGCTCGAGATCCGAGAAGGCGGTGAATAGGAATCTGGTGTCCAATGTGGACCATTTGGAAGAATCTGCGACGATTAATAAGGACCTTTATCTCAACACATGGATAGCAGAAGTCAGTGTGGCGCATCCGACGGGAGGACTCTTGCGGACTTATCTGTCCTCCAAGCATCTCGGAGACAAGAAAGAGGAGGTCGAAGCGCTTATCCAGACGCTAGAAGCCGAGAAAAGCCTCGCTCCCATGGATTTTAATGCTGCAGACGAGAAATTGATCCACTCGTCGAGAAAGAAACTGGATAAAATTCAAACTCGACTTGAAAAAACCCAGCGGAGAATCAAGGATATTCTTCCGGAATCCGCCGATACAATAGACAAGAAAATGAATGGCAACAAGACGAAGACTTCCACTTCAAAGGACAAGCTAGCAGCTGCTGCGAAAGCTGCTAAAATCGCAGCGACAAACACCCAGCAAGGGTTTAATTGGGAGGCCTGTGAGTGCGCCTTTGTGGTGTTCAATAATCTGGAATCCAGACGTCGCTGTCTTCTAGATTATCGTCAATCCACGCGCTGGTTGGCGCGTAATTGGCAGCCGGAAGAACTGCAATTCCGTGGAGAATTTCCGCTTATTGTGACGAGAGCTCCCGAGCCCTCGAACATCTTGTGGGAAAATCTAGAAGTTACCAACCGAGGACGCTTTTATCGCCAATTAGTGACGAATTTGGTGACAATTGCGCTTCTGGTGACGTCATGTGCCATCATTTCGGCAGCCAAGACGACACAGGACCAATTCGCGAGCAAAACGCCGCCTGAAGGTCTGTGTGATCGCGCTCTCCCAGCCGTATATTACGCAGATACTTCGTTCTCTTACAATGCCCAAGAGAAACCCATTCTCTGGTCTCTGGCTTGGGATGCAAATCAAACATGCACACCTGGAACATCCGGAGATAATCGGTATCACATCGCGTATACGAATGGGATTCTAAATGAGTTCGATTCCTCCAGATTTTCTTATGGAACAATCTATCCGAATCCGAATCGATGTGTGGATCCGTGTATCTCGGAATCGAGTACCGAGGTGTGTAATACTCTCCCGTGCTTTTACTATCAGGACCTGGTAATGGTGGAAGGCAGGGCTTGTCAAGCATACGACGCGAGTCATGTGCTGTACTGCTTCTGCTCGACCCAACTGGCTACAAGTCTCAAGAACCATGGCTTCGTGAACGGTGCAAGGAAGCTTTGGGATGTCCTCCCATGTCGTGGATTTACCAAAGATTATCTGGTCAAGAACGCATTTACTCTTCTCGCTGCTGGCATCGTGGTAATTGTGAATTTCGTACTGAATAATTTTTTACGGATGTTCGCAGTATTCGAACGACACACTAGCGAATCTACTAGGACAATCCGTGTGGCAGTTCGGATGTTTGGTGCGCAGTTTCTTAACACTGCACTCATCGTTATCATCGTGAATGCTTCCTTCGGATTAAGCTCGGTTCCGGTAGCCAAGGAGCTTTTGGGAGGTAAATACCGGGACTTTGAACGTGGCTGGTATCCCACAGTAGGCATGGGTATCGCTACAACGATGTTACTTAACGCCTTCTTGCCTCAATTCACGCTGTTCATGCAGATGTACGTCGTCTCTCCTATTCGTCACTGGTACAAGCGTCGCTCTATCCGTACACAAGCCAAGATGGACAAGCTGTACGCAGGTCCAACGTTCGATATCTCGTTAAGATATCCGATGGTTCTTAACTCGGTGTTCGTAACAATGGTATTCTGCGGCGGCTCACCGGTGTTACTCTTCATTGCCGCGGTAGCTGCTGCGGGGGTGTACTGGTTCGATAAATTATCCATTCTCTATCTGTACAGTATCAAGACGACGTACGATGAGATTCTCGGTGAAGTAACACTTGAGGTTCTTCCGTGGACACTAGCGTTACATTTGGGATTCTCCGCGTGGATGTACGGCAACGCAGAGCTACTGAAAGGCACAATGCTGGATCTTCCGTGGCTCTTAAAATCCGTTGGACTGTCGTCTGTAGTCAAAGATCATCCGGACGCGACGTCGGATGAATTGTACTATATTTTGACCGAGAACCTCGAGAAGTACGACGTGCTGGGCCCCAATGGATTCTTGGTGAAGATTGTGTACTCACACGTGATGCTGATGACTGTACTGTGCTGTATCGTCTCGATCGGACTCTTGTTGTACACCATTTTTGGTACGATCGTGTTCGTCGTACTGGGACAGATGTGGGCGGTCATAAAACATGCGTTATTGTTCCCGATAGAGCAGATCCAGTCGCTATTCTCAAAGGAAGATGACGGTCCGAAGGAGACGGATACTCTTGAAGAAGAGACGTTACCGGTAACATTGTTACCTGAGTTTACCGAACCTTTTCTGATGTCGGTATCGAGGAAACACCGACCGGATGAAGGGCTTGGATTCCAGAGAATTAAAGTGGATAACACGTACGAACTTACGTGTGTGTGGCCGGAAGATATGGTGCATGAGAACGGGGTGGAACGAGAGGCTGGAGAGCGTAAATTGACGTGGGAAGTCATGCAAGCTCCGGTCAAGTCGTACGCTATTGAAGCTAACGAGAAGTATCGACACAGTGTGAACATGGTGCTGGAGGCGTGGCAGATAATTAAGCGAGCAAGGGATTTGGAACATGTTCCGGAACCAGTATCCGTAGGGAAAATCATCCCGATGGTCGAGAATGTAGTCACGGAGAAGAATAATGCAGAGGAAGGAGACCCACGTACTGAAGATACCAGACAGGGAGAGATAATTGCTATCGAAGAATACGGTGAAAAAGAGGAGGAAGTAGAGGATAGTGAAGCTGAAGACGAAAGACCTTAAGATCAGACTGAGGATTGAGCAAATCAACTTCAGTAAATGAGATGATTCACAATATTTCAATGGAAAGAAATATCTGAATATTAAAGTGGTCATATTCCAATACTTCTCATTGCAACCAGTAACATTTGAAAGATCATCAGTAAAACCACTGGCAAAGTCGAAATGCAAGGTATAGCTGAAAGTGAAGGTGTTAGGATCAGTCAACGTTGATCGGTGAAGTCTTGCCACACACTAAATACTTCTGCTCGGAAAATAAATCACCTTACAATACGATTTTAAACTCCAGACCCTTGTAAAAATGTTAAAGCAATGTACCATTAAGCATAACTGATTCCCGCCTAAGGCAATAAATTCCCGGCAAAACTGTTGGCTGTTTGAATCTCCCGCCCATTTGCCATCGCTCACTTCGCAAGATCAGCAGGGACATAAGGAGCGACGCTGCTGGCGTTCGTGCGGTGACAGACGTTGGTGTGCGCTGGAATGCCTGCTGATGGCAACGTTAGCTGCTAGACACCTTGCAACGGCCCCCGATTATTGCATGCGATAGTGAAGGTATGGACATCTAACATGTCCAGTTTGCTGATGCCGGCCTGTGTATCGGGCGGATGAATGCGACGAAGTCCTCACGCTTGTCGCTCAACGACGTCCGCTGTCGTGAATCAAGTCTAGCGCATACTCGAGGCAAACGTCTCTGCAGTGGCTTACGGACTCAGTAGTCTTTACGAAATTGCTGCTGAAATGGCGAACAAGAGCGCCTGCAGCTACACTGATGTGGTGGAACAAGCACACCCGCAGTTGAGCAATTATATCATTAAATCCCGGTTCTATGATCGTTTCAAAGGTCACAGCTCCTCGAATGCAGTCTTGCTTGGCACAGCTAAGGTGGCGGCACAGTATCCACGGGCACGCACCTGTTTTACAGAAGGATCAGCAGCCCTCCGCAAACTTTATAATCATGAAAAAGAACGAGGCGGAGCGCTGCGAAATATTTTTGGAAAGGTGATTTATTTTCCGAGCGGAGAAACACGTGCTCAAGATGAGTCAAGAACGAGACTTGACGCTGATAAAGGTGCCCAGCCTGGGTAATCGAGGGCGTTCTTGGAAGAGGCGATGAGGCTATTTAACCGAGTCGATACATAAGCTGGATGATGACGCTGTACAATATCGAAACAAGGCATACACTTAAATTGCGTCTTTATTGTGCAGCGTCAATAAGAACAGTATTGTGTAAGACTACTGAGGCGAGACGCTTTTCAGGAATACATTCTCTCGATGGGATCTTTATAATGAACTCGCTCCGTACCTGCACTGACAACTGGCGTACGCAATGGTAGCTTGAACTGCCGCATAATCGAGCTGACATTGAGCGGATCGAGAGCGCCAAATGGTCCACGAGACACCATTTGTAGTCTAATTAGAAGTATTTTTGTCTTACATAGAATTTTTTAGTTGCTACCTGGTGGAACTGAGGCACGATGTTAGTTACAGCAGACGATTTTTTTGTGAGAAAAAATATCATTTTTGATCGGTGTCGCCGTCAAACTAAAAGTAGAAGTGAGTTCATTTCTCTGTTGTTAGAAAAGAACTAAAAATATGCAAATTGCGGGATTGGTCGGTGGTTACCCAACCTCTTCGTTCGAGGTATAAACACCGTAGTTTTGTAAATGATTTTAATGATTGGACATTGATTTGACTAAAATTGTTTTAATGTTTTTTTTTGTATGTGACGCGGTTTTCACACCGAAATCTCCTTTTAATTGAGAATTTTACCTAGTAATAAACAACATACAGCTATTTACAGACGAACCCTTCCATAGTCATAGTACTTGAGACCAACGTTGTACTCCTATTTAAGGGTATTCGTGATGGTTAAACCAAGTGTACCCTCTAAATGGTACAGCCAATTGATCTATTTTGTTGTTTGCCTTCCCGGCTCTCACCCACTCTTCAGTGTAATAATATGTCAGCCAAACCTATAAGCAATTTACTTTCAGCTATTCTATCATAACGTTGTAGATTTTCTAGCATTATGCCCCCATCCCAACTACAGCTAGCTGAGCGGTCTCATACAACCTTGTTGCTGCTCCTTTGCAGGTCGCTGATCGAGGCGTCCACGGCGGCCTTAACCCCTCTAGCCCCGCTTCCTGTATTCTACAGGATAAAAAGTTTCGTATCCTGTATTCTACAGGATAAGGTTATTGGCAAATCGGGTTCATACTTAATTCAAGGACAACTATACAAACTTCAAGTAATGCTGCCAAATATAAAGTTTGACAGTGATGTAGCTAACCTCGGGCTAATAATTCGTGGCCAGAAATTTTTAGAGATTTAGAGAGCGCGCCAAATTTCGCGCCATTCACGATTTAGACCAGGGGGAGGTAGCACCATGCAGAAGCGAAGAGTTCGGCGACTTACATGGGGATAACTGTGGACCAGACTCAAGAAGCTAGGGTGGCAATTTGAGCGACCAAAGGGGCTAGCTACCGAGAATCGCTACTTTACACCTGGTGGATGGAAGAAAAGGCCAAACGCAACACACCTTGTCGACTATTTCGACGGAGCTGACGAAGTATGGCAACACGTGCCAGTTGATGGTACGAATCGGCTCATTTTGATTTTGGTATATTGCTATTAACTCATATCACAGCTATCTATGACATGCCGCCTGCCAAACGACAAGCCACTACGAGCTCCCCTCTATCAATTCCACTGGGTGCCCCCGAGCCGCCAGTCAACTCTCCCGTGATTCCGCCTGCCCAGTCGCCTGCGAGGACGCCTGCCCAGTCGCCTGCGAAAACGCCTGCCCAGTCGCCTGCGAAAACACCTGCCAAGTCGCCTGCGAAGACACCTGCCAAAGCACCTGCCAAGTCACCTCGGAAGACGCCTACAAAGTCAGCTGAAAAGACGTCTGCCAAGTCACCCACCAATACGCCAGCCAAGTCGCCGGCTAAGTCCCCCGCCCAAGCTCCTGCTAAGGGCCAGACGCCAAGAAAGAAACGTGCGCGTAAAGAGGTCGCTGCGTCTCCTATACCGTCACTACGTCCACTACGGTCGTGTACTGTTCGCGCAGCAGAAGTGAACATATCTGTTGGTGATGACCGTTTAAGCTCTGGTGACGAGGACGACTTCCAAGTCGATGAAGGCGATGAGTCCGACATTGAAGGTACATGTGAGACTTCTGCCGGTGAAGAGAAAGAAAACACCAGCGATGAGGAAGATGCAGTCGATCTCTCAGCGGGAACTCCATTCGACCAGATGAACAAGGACCGGCTGAGCGAACACGCGAAACAGGCTGGACGACCTACTTCGAAGATTCATGTGAGTGCTTTCGTGTACTATACAGGATAACGAGTGTCCTTTGCTTCGGCTATCCTGTACTCGACACTAATACCCATATATCGTTGCTATGTAGGCGCTTCCCTTCAGCTGCCATCGGCAGAGCTTACACGCTGCTCCGCCACACCTACGGAGTTGGCTACTGCACTGGGGAGTAACTTGGAAGGACTGTTTTTCCTGTTCCTGCCTAAATCGATGTGGATGTCTATCGCTACGGAATCAAATCGGTACCAGCTTCAGTATCGAACGCAGGCAGCGGACGAAATAATGGCACGACAGCGACAGCTCAAGCTGAGGCGACCTGAGTACAAGATGAAAACTGTACAGCAAGTCCAGGCTGAGCAACAATCGCTCAAGCCAATACAAGCGCATGAGCTGGTACATTTCATTAGTTTACTGTGTGCCCGAACCCTTTGCCCGCACCGTGAGAAGCTGTCGAAGCATTGGGCGGTGGATGTACAAGGCGCGGTTCCTAAAGGCACATTTGGGCGATACATGTCCCGAAAGCGATTCGAAGAGATCGTACGATTCTTGCATTTTAGCGACAACAGTCATCCTGACGCTATCAAGTTCAAGACGTGGAAGATTAAGCCTGTCGCGGACACGATCAACGCAACGTTCAAGCTGGGGATGACAGTAGGGCAACGAATCGCCTTCGACGAAGGAATGATACCGATGAGTAGCAAGTTCAACCCCATGCGGCAGTTTCTTCGAGGAAAACCTCACCCATGGGGTACTAAGTGCTTCTTGACTTGCGATGCAGAGAGCGGGTACTGCTACAGGTAATGGATCACTTAGTCTACAGAACATTGTATTATCCAGGTACTAAGTAATTATGCTTGTGTCTTATTCTGTATAGGGCTGAGATATACCAAGGAAAGCTCAACAGTGACTGTGCGGACCTGAACCAAGGCCCCAACGCTGTGATCCGTAATGTTGAAGAGGTGCTGGAAGGACTACCAAGGAAGCGTCTGATCATCACCGACCGTTTCTACTCAAGTGTGCTGCTGTCGTCGATCCTTCTACAACGTGGACTCTACCATGTCGGCACCATTCAAACGAATCGGCGAGGCTACTGTAAAGACATTCCGTACAAGCAAGCTAAACGACCAAAGACGATGGCGAGAGGGGTATACCGGATTGCACAGTCCAAGACTGAGCCGAATTTGATTGCAGTGTCATGGATGGACAACCGTCCTGTACACTTCA